TGCCATCCATTTCTGCAATGCATTTTTCAGAAGGGATTTCCTTATATTCAGCTTTTTGTCTAGAAGAAAGAGTGGGAAAAAATTTTTGCATCCACCTTCTGCCCCTCTGAAATAGGGTAAGCAATGGCACCATCTTAATCAAAGCACTGTAAACAAAACTGGAAATTTGAGAGAAATTAAAAGGAGAACAGAAGGTTGCATTTGAACAAAATACATAACAACAAATGTTTACAGAAATGAGACATGATAATATTGATTAGAGCCAGCCAGAATTATGAGCATTTGGAGACTTCCCACAGCCTTCATCTGCTTAAACATTTTTCTGGGGTTGGCTGTGTCCCTAGAAACCAGTTTGTTGCACTTTTTGTTTAGAAATGCATAACTTCATCTACTGCTTTGCTCCTCCTGGTGTACCTACTACACTGATTTGCCAGCAGTTGGCACATTTGCTTAAGGAACAAGTTACCTTGCTGAACTTCTTGCGCAGCAAGGTACCCCATGGATTGCCTCCAGGTTGAGAAGTTGAAAGAGAATTATTTTTAAGTTTCTTCAGAGAAAACAAGGTTTAACTTTCTATGCAATAAGCATTGGCCTTTTCTGTGAGTAGATGCAACTTGAAATCTTGTAAGACTTCAGGTAGAGAGTTGCTTCAGGGAAAAAAAGGAAAACTGAAAGTGATTGGGTCCTTAGAGTCTCTGCTCTCAAGACTAGGCAAGAAACTAGACTTTGCTTTGGAAAGCTAGAGTCAGTGTCTGGTGGGCTTTGCTTACCTGGGACAGTTTTTCTCCCTGATGCTTCAGCAGGGTGATAACTGTGCCCCAGGGCTTGGTGCTCACCTTGCTCTTTGGCCTCTTCATGGGACTTGGCTGCCATTATAACAGCGTTCTGAACAACTAAATGACAACAAAATATTTTAAATGGCTGAATTTAGCATGAAGTGAGTCAACCAGCATACAAATTTGATTTTTTTTTTTTTTTTTTTTTAAATTTGTGTGGAGTCTCATCTATGGTATAGCAACCCGTATGGCGCATTCAAGGGTAAACATACCAAACAGATGCTTCTTTGCTGACTTGGAGGTCTGAGTCACTGCAGTCTCTGTTTGAAAATGAATTACTGTGGATGATGCTCTACAGGAGTTTGCAGTTGAAATACCATGCTAAATACATGCTAATGACAATGCAGGCTGCAGTATGTAGAAATTTGTCTGTTGTGCAGAGAAAGGAGGAAGGTTATGGGCAACTGCTTTTCAGCAGTTGATGGCAGACTCTTGGAGTTGAAGCACAGTCTCTCAGCCAGCTGGTGGTTGATTAGACCAGTCTTAAGTACTTAACCTAAAATGACTTACCTTGTACGACGTACATTATTTGTGTCTTCTTGATTTGTGTCATGTTCCATTAAGAAGAGCGGGCCAGCATCAGGGCAGGCAACCTTCCTGGCAGGCAAGGAAAGCATGTGGCCTCTTGTGGTCTCTGCTTTCTTGGGGACCAGAGAAATTGCACTTTGATGCAACAGAGAAAGCCACTTAATTAGCAAGAAGCAAAAACACACCTGAAAAGATGCAG